ATTTTTAAATCAAATAACAGACGAAGAGGATAAATTTATCGAAAGTGTTAAGAAAAACCTTAATGGAAGCAGGCGATCAATTACGCAAAACTTTAAAGAAGAAGATGGATGCCTCTTTAAGAAAAACCCGAACCCTGAAGGCAGGGCGTGGTTGCTTGTGGTTCCAGAGAAGAAAAAGAGAGAAATTATGAAAGAATATCACAATCATATGTCGAATGGCCATCTGGGCGTCGCCAGAACCATGTACCGAATAAAGAGTAAATACTTTTGGCCATCCATGCTAAAGGATGTCTCATAATTCGTTAAGACGTGTCACATTTGCCAAAGTAGGAAAGGCTCAAACCAATTACTTTCTGGACTACTACAGCCCATCCCCCCAGCCAACTTTCCTTTCGAAAGAATTGGAATTGACTTTGTTGGTCCACTGCCATCTACGAAAAACAGGAAAAAATGGATAATCGTGCTGACGGACTACTACACTAGATATGCAGAAACAAGAGCAGTCTCGGAAGCAACAGTGAAAGAAGTTTCTAAATTTCTAGTAGAGGATATTTTTCTCCGGCACAGAGCCCCACAATATCTTATTAGTGACAGAGGCTCTCAATTTACCAGTAATTTAATGAAAGAGGTGATGAAAACGTGCAAGATTAAACATTGCTTCACAACGAGCTATCATCCCCAGACTAATGGATTGACAGAGCGGTCAAAAAAAACTGTGCTGAGAAGATGTAAGAAAACATCTACCTATGTTTCCCCACGTGACGCAGCGGAGCGTGACCTCGGCTGCACGGGTGAGTCAGTTGTTGTTTTGCTCTCGATAGATGGACATTAAAACATGGTGGCAGCGATAACTGGATAAAATACGAACCCGTATATTGCAAAATATCGATTTTTGCGTACCTTGGAAGATAATTCAACATGGCTCAGATTCAACCTCCAGAAACTTTCGACTTCTCGACTCCCAACGAATGGCCCAGATGGAGGAAAAGATTCGAACGATACCTCGTGGTCAGTGGAATGAAGAAGAAAGAGGAGGCGGACAAGATCGATTTGTTCATGTACTTGATGGGCGACCGCGCGGATGATATATTCAGGACCTTCAAGTTCGAAAAGGAGGAAGAGGCAACGAAAATTGATTCCGTCCTCAAGGCGTTCGACAGCCACTTCTGTGTCAGAAAGAATATTATCTACGAACGTGCGAAATTTAATTCAAGAATCCAAGAGGATCGGGAGCCAGTGGACGAATTCATCACTTCATTGTACAAATTGGCTGATAGCTGCGAATTTGAGGGTCTTCATGAGCAGTTGATCCGTGACCGAATAGTGGTTGGAGTGAGGGACAAAGCTTTATCTGAAAGAATGCAGTTGGACAGCGAACTGACTTTGGAAAAGGCGGTGAAAATGGTTCGACAGCAGGAAGCCGTTCGACAGCAGCAAGTCGACCTGCAGCGTCCCTCAACAAGCCAAAAGGTCAATCAGGTGAAGTTCAACTCGAAGAAACAATCACCGAAACAACAACAGCAGCCTTCGAGGAAGAAGGAGAAGTCAGCCAAAACAAGATTACGATGTCCAAAATGCGGAGGTTTCACCCACAGGGAAGGACAGGCTTGCCGTGCTGAAGGACAGAAATGTAACCTGTGTTCAAAAACAGGCCATTTTGCAAATTCCTGCCCAGATAAACAGGCAAAGACTGCGGAAGTCAAAGCTGTTTATGAACTTGATGAAGAAATTGGTTTTCTCCTGGAGGTCTCAGCTGTGGAGGATTCATCTAATCTCGATGATGATGAAGACGAGTGCAGGAGGCGATGGACAGCAGAAATCCAAGTGAACGGGAAAAAGGTGAAGTTCAAGCTCGACTCCCAGGCGGATGTTACATGTGTTCCTCTGTGTCTCTTCAAGAAGATAATGGGACAGCAACGACTAGTGAAAAGTGATATCAACCTTAGAGCTGCTGAATTCTCCGAACTTCAGACTGTGGGTATGTTTATATCAACGCTGCGAAATGGCAATTATGAAATCAAGGAGAAGATTTATGTCATTCGTCGTTTGAGTGAACCTCTTCTGAGTCGCCGGGCATGTGAGCTCTTGAACCTGGCGAGGCGGATTGAAGTGGTTGCGACGAGAATTAACCCGATCAAGGAATTCCCTGAAACTGTTGTAAGCGATAATGGGACGCAATTTGGAGCTGCTCGTGAATTTGCTAATTTCGCAAGGCAGTATGGATTCACACATGTCACTTCAAGTCCTCGATTCCCGCAGAGCAATGGGATGGCAGAAGCAGGTGTGAAAATTGCTAAGTTGATCCTCAAGAAAAATCAAGACCCATCGCTTGGACTCCTGGAGTATCGATCGACCCCTTTGGAGAACGGTTGCAGCCCTGCTGAGCTTCTCATGGGACGTAAACTCCGAACGACCTTGCCAATTGCACCAGAGAATCTTAATCCAAAGTTGGTGGACTCTCAGACCCTGAAAAGAAAGGAGGGGAGAAGGAGAAAGGATATGAAATCCAGATATGATCGACGCTGCGGAGCTACGGACATGGAGGAGCTATCCGAAGGTGACACTGTTTGGATTACAGATATGCGAACCTGGGGGATTGTAAAGAAGAAAGCATCGACACCAAGGTCGTATATGGTTGATACTCCAGTTGGGACTTTACGTCGAAACAGGTTCCATCTACGAAAAATATATGCAGTGCAATATCCACCCGACCCATCGAACACGACCTTTTCGGGGGAGGAACTGGTTGAAAATGAAAAGACCCCAGTTGTGGATCATCCCTCTAACGACTCAGAAGACGGCCAGATAAGAACCCGGAGTGGACGAATTGTTAAACCTGTGGATCGCCTTCATTATTAATTATATTATGCATTTAAAGTTTGTAATGTATATATATATTTCAAGTCTTAAAAAGGGGGATGTGCTGAGAAGATGTAAGAAAACATCTACCTATGTTTCCCCACGTGACGCAGCGGAGCGTGACCTCGGCTGCACGGGTGAGTCAGTTGTTGTTTGGCTCTCTGTATGAATGGACATTAAAACAAAAACATTGATCAATATGCTCAGTATGTATGTGAACACTGATCAGAAGAATTGGGACGAAATACTCCCATTCATCACTCACGCTTACAATACTACAATTCAGGAAACCACAGGATATTCTCCCTTTTTCCTGATGTTTGGAAGAGAACCCACGTCTCTTTTGGACGACAGGAATATCTCTATGACAAGAAACACATGGAAAGAAGCTACGAACCAGGAGAATTAGTAGCAGTTTGGACCCCAATTAGGAAAATAGGAAAGTGTGAGAAACTACTGAGAAAATATTTTGGCCCATATAGAATATTAAAGAAGCTGTCCAACGTAAATTACTTGATTGAACCAAAAGATAATCCTGGCCAAGACCCATTGATTGTCCATGTCTCAAGAATCAAACCCTATTTTGAAAGAATTGATGAGGTCAATCACGAGGACGTGACGACCTCTGGAGAGGGGGAAGTGTTACATCATGATTAATGGCGTATTTATTATATTATTTTTAATATATTTGAAATTTAAATTATATATTTATTTATTTTTATATAAAATATTCTATGATATTTATTTAAAACAGATTATTTAGATTATCATCATTTGTATTTAGGTACACGTGTGAATTCACTGCTCTCTTTAATGTGAGAAAATAAATACATTATTCTGGAGGCTACTTAAAGTAGACTTATCTCATTATTCCCTTATATAAATTTGTAGGATGGTTGAAACACGCTCTGGTAAGATGCAAGACCCAGCACAGGAGAGAATCAAGGCTGAAGAGTCTGCCAAGCCGCAACCCGGCGCAACAATTTATTATACAAGAATGACATCCATGGCGCCAATTTATAATTGTAACGAATAGTATTTGAATAAAAGCATTTAATCGGGTAAAACCCGGGCGTTGCCCGGGTTATTCGTATCTACTTATATATTTGCCTTATTCTGTCTGTTTGTTTGTCTGAAGCTCACGGATGGGAATTTTCATAACCATCGGTGGTTCAGTGGTAGAATGCTCGCCTGCCACGCGGGCGGCCCGGGTTCGATTCCCGGCCGATGCATTTTTTTTTTTTTACAATTTTTAAAACTCATTTATATATTATAGAAGAATGACATCCACGGCGCCAATTTATAATTGTATTTGAATAAAAGCATTTAATCGGGTAAAACCCGGGCGTTGCCCGGGTCATTGTATATAATAATTGTATAAACGAATGCAAGACAAAATCACCGCGAATGTTTCTTTTTTTTAAGGCAATTTCTTTTTAAGGCAATTATCGTTATTTATCGTTAATTTTTGTTTCGATTTTATTGAAAAAAAAACGATATGGTGCCTTTAAAAAATGATCTTTATTACTATGCAGTTTTCTATTTAGTCAATATACCTAAGTTCATGTTGCAAATGTAATTATCTCTATCGATTTAGTAGGTGAAATGCAAAAAAAAAAAATCGACATGATGAAATCTTTATGAAAATTCACATTTTTATTTTATGTTTCAAGACACACACAGTTTGGGGCGGGACGTTTCACAAGAGAGACATCCACGGCGCCAATTTATAATTGTAACGAATAGTATTTTAATTAAAACATTTTAAAAACACACAGTTTGGAACGGGACGTTTCACAAGAGTGGCATCCATGGTGCCAATTTATAATTGTAACGAATAGTATTTGAATTAAAACGTTTTTAAAATATATACGCACTCGGGTAAAACCCGGGCGTTGCCTGGGCCATTCGTCTAGTACATTATAAAGGACTGCGGCGTATGATTATAAACAACACTTGAAGTTTCATCGCATAAGTTTCTTTTCTGTGAAAAATCAATAATTATTTCAAAGAGAAATATTTACTATTTCTAACTTTTTTAGATGAAGTATGAAAGGGTGAAAATATGAAGAGTAATGGCGAAGTATGAAGTATGAAAGGGTGAAAATATGAAGAGTAATGGCGAACGGAAAAATAAAAGTGTCCAGGGGCGGGAATCGAACCCACAACCTTCCGCTTACGGGCAGATGCCATGTCCACTAGGCTACCCTGGACGTATTTTTCCGTTCGTAAATAATACTTAAAGTAACTTATAATACATTATAAAGTACTGCGGCGTATGATTATAAACAACACTTAAAGTTTCACCGCATAAGTTTCTTTTCTGTGAAAAATCAATATTTATTTCAAAGAGAAATATTTACTATTTCTAACTTTTTTAGATGAAGTATGAAAGGATGAAAATATGAAGAGTAATGGCGAAGTATGAAGTATGAAAGGGTGAAAATATGAAGAGTAATGGCGAACGGAAAAACGGTGAAACTTTAAGTGTTGTTTATAATCATACGCCGCAGTCCTTTATAATGTACTAGACGAATGGCCCGGGCAACGCCCGGGTTTTTACCCGAGTGCGTATATATTTTAAAAACGTTTTAATTCAAATACTATTCATTACAATTATAAATTGGCGCCGTGGATGTCTCTCTTGTGAAACGTCCCGCTCCAAACTGTGTGTGTCTTGAAAACATAAAAATAAAAATGTTGTTGTTGTTGTTTCTTATCCCCTTGTGTAAAGATTACACGAATTCCATGAGTTCATGCTCCTCGAGCTGTTTTATGATGAGCAGCGGCCTCTCCCAAAGGTCCTGTTTAGTGCATTTAATGCAAGCTAAAATGTGTTCTGGAGCTGCAGGTGCCAAGCTACATTTTGGGCAAGTGGGGTAGATTTTGTTATTATTTTCTATCTTCAATGGCTTGAGATGGCCTGTTCTAAATCTTGTTAGTGTTGTTTGATGCTGTCTATTTCTGATGTTCAGAGCTCCTCCTGGGTTCACTCCACTGTACCAACTGTGCTTAGGTGGGATCCTCCAGTTCTTGTTTATTTTTGTTTTGGCTACTGTCTCTATTTCTTTAAAAGTAAGTTTATTTTTCTGTGGCAAGGGTTCTTTTGTGCCTTTTTTTCGCTAGCACATCAGCAGCTTCATTGCCTTCAATTCCAACATGTGAGGGTATCCATTGAAGGTGAATTTTTGAGGTTTTTGAGAGTTTTTGGAGATAGCCAATTATGTTCCTGCTTACTTTGTCTCTGAGTTCCCCTGTGTGACTCAAGTGTTGTATGGCACTTCTACTATCAGTAAGAATCCAGATATCTTGATAATTAGTATTTCTGATGGATTTTAAGGCTTCATAGATGGCTATAAGTTCTGATCTGAAGACTGAGCAAAAATCTGGGTTCTTCTGTTCATTTTCTCAATGCCATTTGTGGTTTTGATGAGACAGCCACTGCCAGTGTGTCCTAGCTCGTCTCTGCTACCATCGGTATAAATAGTTATTGCATTTTTAGGAATGTTATTAATTATTTCTAATGATAATTGTTTTAAGTATTCTGGATTTTGGCATTGTTTGTTGGTGGGTTCATTTAAAGAGGCATTAAAAATAACATTTTGTAGTGGTTCGCATGGAGAAATTTTTTCTGCTAAATAATTTTTTTCAACTTTATATTTTAAAAATCCATTTCTCTTGGCCAGGTGGAGAGGGCCTTCTTTTTGAGTCTTAGATTGGATTCCCAATTAAGTATGTAATTGGAAGTTCTGTGTTTGTTTCCATAACTCTTGATTTTGTTTATATATTTTGGCAGATTGTAGCTTCTTCTATCCTTTAAGGGCATAATGTCTGCCTCGTAAAGTACAATATCGTTAGGGCAGGTATTTCGAAGACCTGTAATAATTCTAGCTGCACTTAGTTGTATCCTTTCCAGTGATTTTAGATTTGTTTCAGATGCTGTACCAAAATAAAAATGTGAATTTTCATAAAGATTTCATCATGTCTATTTTTTTTTTTTGCATTTCACCTACTAAATCGATAGAGATAATTACATTTGCAACATGAACTTAGGTATATTGACTAAATAGAAAACTGCATAGTAATAAAGATCATTTTTTAAAGGCACCATATCGTTTTTTTTCAATAAAATCGAAACAAAAATTAACGATAAATAACGATAATTGCCTTAAAAAGAAATTGCCTTAAAAAAAGAAACATTCGCGGTGATTTTGTCTTGCATTCGTTTATACAATTATTATATACGAATGACCCGGGCAACGCCCGGGTTTTTTACCGTTTAAATGCTTTTTTTCAAATACTATTCGTTACAATTATAAATTGGCGCCGTGGATGTCATTCTTGTCTCTATCTCTATATATATAAAAGTCAATTTCTGTCTGTCTGTCTGTTTCGCGATAAACTCAAAAACTACTGAACCAATTGGTACCAAATTTTGCATGTCGCTTTTTATAAACCTGAGGAAAATTTTTGGCTGCATTTTGATTAGTATTTTTGGCTATTTCTTTTTTCATTTGAAGAACTTTTTTTTACGCGGACTAATCCGGAATGGAATGAATACCTAAATATGGCCATTTTTTTTAAAGCATCGGTGGTTCAGTGGTAGAATGCTCGCCTGCCACGCGGGCGGCCAGGGTTCGATTCCCGGCCGATGCATTTTTTTAAAACAATTTTTAAAACTCATTTATATTATATCTTATATATATAAAAATGAATGTTTGTATGTTCGTTTGTTTGTTTGTTGGTTTGTATGTCCGGTATACAAATTCGCAGTAGTTCACTAATTCAAACCAAAATTTCCATACATAGGTAAAAAATACGGGAAGACGATAGGCTATTTTAAAAAATATATAAATCAATTATTAAAACTATATATTATTAGTCAGAAAATGATGATGACGATATTGCTGTATGATGTAAGATTATCAGATACAAAATTATATCGGGAAAAATTCCAAAAAGCAGAGACCACGAGTGAAACCAGCTCATTATTTTGTACGCAGGAACAAAATTCTAACAGAAAAACATTCATTCGAGCAGAAAACAAAAGCCAGATCATCTTTCTATAAAAATATCGCTTCTCAGACACAAAGTTTGGAGCGGGACGTTTCACAAGAGTGACATCCACGCCGCCAATTTATAATTGTAACGAATAGTATTTAAATAAAAACATTTAATCGGGTAAAACCCGGGCGTTGCCCGGGTCATTTGGCTAGTATAATCGAACCCGGGCCGCCCGCGTGGCAGGCGAGCATTCTACCACTGAACCACCGATGGTTATGAAAAATCCCATCCGTGAGCTTCAGACAAACAAACAGACAGAATAAGGCAAATATATAAGTAGATTATAAGTTACTTTAAGTATTATTTACGAACGGAAAAATACGTCCAGGGTAGCCTAGTGGACATGGCATCTGCCCGGTAAGAGGAAGGTTGTGGGTTCGATTCCCGCCCCTGGACACTTTTATTTTTCCGTTCGCCATTACTCTTCATATTTTCACCCTTTCATACTTCATCTAAAAAAGTTAGAAATAGTAAATATTTCTCTTTGAAATAAATATTGATTTTTCACAGAAAAGAAACTTTAAGTGTTGTTTAGAAATTAGTATATATTAATGTACTATTTGTGCCGAGGTTATTTTTTATTTAGAGAAAAACACAATTTTAATATAAAAAAGTACATTTTTGTTTTTAACAAAGACCTATGTTTACTTTCTGCATATATTAAATATTTTTCACCCTTTTAAGAAGCTTCTTTAAAATTTTAATAACGTTTCATGTTATAATATCAACATGTTTAGTTGTTGTTGCTGTGGTTGTAGTGTACAATGATGAGCCTCAGATGTCTCCATGCATCTCTATCACAGCAAACGCAATTTTCTTCATTGGAAAATGGGAGATGTTGCCCCTTTAATCACCTTGGAAATGGATGGAATTTGGTCAGGGTTCAGGAGAGACCGCAGTGAGGTGTGGCAGGACTTTTCTCCCTCACAAGAGCGTGCCAAATCCCCGTAAGAATTCTTATGTAACAAAAATTAAGTTAGGGACTAGGCAGAGAGACAACCCTATATATATCATGAAAGCTATGTTCCAAAGTAAACAGCACGCAAGTCGATGCTAGAGGAGAACTCCTTGGTGAAGCAAGTTTCCTGAAGTTTGTTCAGGCTTGGCGTGACCATACAAAGTAAAACAGTTCGCGGAGTGCGACAAGACCTCGATAATTAGATAGCCCAAGAGCCCAATGTTCCTTCTGACTGTAGTCGATTTCTTTTGCCTCGAACATGGGCGAAAACAATATTTCTGATGTCGAAGTTGTATACAAGTTCCTTTTTAAATCATCTATCCAGTAAGAGAGAGATATTTATAACCCAGGTTCGCGTAGAGCGCAGAACGTCAACTACTATGGAAGTCCAAGTCCAGATCACTAGTATGGACTAGTGCAAAGCGCATTTACTCGCCAACTGTTGTGATTGCTGAGCTGAACCAGTTGACCAGGAATTTCCATGCGGAGATTGAGTCTGGATGGCTGGTCATAGATGTAAGGTTGAAGTGGGTGAGTCCAAGTAGCATAGTTCTTCACATCCTATGTTTCAGGAACGCTGAACAGCTGAAGAGGAGGTGATCAACTGTCTGTGGCTTTTCTGAAGTGAGGGCAGGTAGGGTCTGTTTCGAGATGCAAAAGCGCAATGTCTGCCAGTTCATGGCAGTGGTCCGCGAGGATGGTGTTTGTGGCCTCTCGATGGCAGAGTTCTGGCAAAAATTTAAGATGTCTTGTAGTGGAAGCAATTATACTGAAGGATATGGGCGAGTATCATTGGAAATATAACACAGTCCATGATGCTAGAACAGGCATTCGCGTTAGGTGATTCCAGTAGAGACCCCATTTAATAAACAGTAAACTCTAGCTGCAATCATTTTGGAACTAGCGCATAAATATTTTGAAACACAAAAGCACCCTGAGCCTCCGCAGCAATTATAATGTGTTTAATAAATTAAACACATTTTGAATATTTAGAACTACTATTAAACTATCTTTTAATTGTGGAATAAATTTGAAATTTTTACTCTTCAGAAGCATGGAGTTGATCATATCAAATAATAATATAAAATTACCTTTTGAGACACTCTAGGATATAAATATTTTCTCAATTTTTTTGCTACATTCTGCTCTAATTACTATTTATTAAATTCCTATAATTTAATTTGAGGGACAACGATATTTGAAGAAAAATAAAATAGTTCGATAAAATAATGAAGTAATAAAATTATATGTAATATTTATTTGCATTTATTTATCATGATTTTATATAATATTTGTTCTTTATATATTTTATTTTTAAAAATAATTTTAGATAATTTATAATATGTGTGAGTAATCAATAAAGATCATTGGAATTTTTCTATAACCTGTGTTTATTTATTTTAATTATAGCTGATTCTTTTGTTATAAGTAATTATTATAAGATTTATTAAGTGATAATATTATTGATATGGCCCTCAACTTATTAAAAGGTAAACTTATATTACAGCAACTATTTAAGGTTAAAAATAATTGCTTTCAGTTGCGTTGTCTCCATGCTTCCTCAATAAGATCAGATTTGATGGAATTTTTTGATTCAGAAGAAAATTGGAAGAAGCAACAAGTAAGAAGTGGAAGATCGTGGAAAAAAGATGAGCTTAGAATCAAAAGTAATGAAGATCTTCACAAACTATGGTATGTATTATTAAAAGAAAAAAATATGCTTTTAACCATGGAGGAAGCAGCATTGAAGAAAAATGCAGCTTTTCAGAGCCCCGAGCGTTTGGATAAAGTAGAAGAAAGCATGGAAAACTTAGAAGAAGTCGTTAAGGAACGAAACAAAGCATATTATGAACTTGAAACTGGAAAATCAGGACTCAGAGAATTGGGTGTAAGACCTGATATTTTTGGTAGAATTGAAACCTATCAATTGAATGAATATTATGAACCGGCTTCAGAAAACCCAGATTACACAGAACCAGATTATTTGATTAGATATGATCCAGACGTAGATGAATTTTTAAGAAAAATGAATGAGAAAATGAATGACAGAGAGAAAGAACAAACTAAAAAAGATCTTGAGCATATTAGAGAATTATTTACACGTTTCCCTGAGCTAGACAAAGAAGCCCTTCAAGAGAAATACCCAAAACTTGACATTGAAAAGATTCATAAAGAATACATATACAAGTATGGTAAAGTTTCTATTTAGTGTGTTTTAAAAAAAAATACAATTGTACATCTCACTATCAATAAAAAATCAATAAATAATTACTCTTGTTGTTTTAATTTATATAATTCCTATGTATTGTTCAATAATAATAATATATATTTTGACCTTATAACCATTGTAAATACTTATCACACTATTTTCATCTTCTTTCTTATCTCCACTCAATCATATTAGGGTATCAAGCTTATAAAGCTTGAGATTTAGGCCCGGCTGATAGTACCCTAATCCAGGGATACAGGATGAGGGGAGACCCCTCGACATTTGGCCCAATCTGAGACTAAGCCTCTCATTGGTCGTGACGTCACGGTGATGCATGATGTAAAGAAAGGTAATGATTGGTCATTGTATTTTTTTTTAAACAAGGTTTAATTATTATATAATCTTGTTTAAAAAAAAAAAACAATGAACTATTCATGACCTTTGTTTACATCGGGCGTCACCGTGATGTCACGACCATGAGAGGCTTAGTCTCAGATTGGGCCAAATGTCAAGGGGTCACCCTGGATATGAGCAGCTTTTGTACTCCATTGTTAGGAGCGGCTGCACATGGCTTCTGTTCCTCATGTCAGAGGCAGCCATTTCTTTTGGAGCTAAGTTGGCCTGCCACTGAGTAGTGCTCCCAGTCTTAATGACAAAGGCATTCTACATCACCCAGTCATGGTGGTTGTCTTTTACACTATGAAACAATATATTAAAATAATAAAAGAAATGTGTAGATGACAAGATAGGAGTAGATAAAATAGTCTTTTCATTTTTTACCACACATGAGCATGGAAGTTAGTGGATGTTTGGTATAAACCAATTTCTGACAGCTACAACCACGAATTGAATCCTGCATTGGACACTTTTTTTTCAGGAAAAAAAAAAAGCTTCAATAGGCACCCTGATTCGTGCAAATATCTAACCTCAATAATGAGTGTGCAAATAACCAAATAGGGCTCTGGCACATTTGTAAATGTAAAAATCAAACTGTTTTTTACATGTGTAGACATGTTTTACACTTAGAGTTGTTGTTGTCGTGTCCAATGAAGAGCCTCAGATGACCCATGCATCTCTATCATAGCAGTCGCAATGTCCACTATCTTGGGTGTGTATACTGTATTGTTGTTGTTGTCGTGTCCAATGAAGAGCCTCAGATGTCTCCGTACATCTCTATCACAGCAGTCGTTCTCTATCTTGGGTGTGTATACTGTATTTTTGTTGTTGTCGTGTCCAATGAAGAGCCTCAGATGTCTCCGTACATCTCTATCACAGCAGTCGTTCTCTATCTTGGGTGTGTATACTGTATTGTTGTTGTTGTTGTGTCCAATGAAGAGCCTCAGATGTCTCCGTACATCTCTATCACAGCAGTCGTTCTCTATCTTGGGTGTGTATACTGTATTGTTGTTGTGTCCAATGAAGAGTCTCAGATGTCTCCATACATCTCTATCACAGCAGTCGTTCTCTATCTTGGGTGTGTATACTGTATTGTTGTTGTTGTCGTGTCCAATGAAGAGCCTCAGATGTCTCCATGCATCTCTATCATAGCAGTCGCAATGTCCACTATCTTGGGTGTGTATACTGTATTGTTGTTGTCGTCTCTGTCCAATGAAGAGCCTCAGCTGTCTCCGTACATCTCTATCACAGCAGTCGTTCTCTATCTTGGGTGTGTATACTGTATTGTTGTTGTCGTGTCCAATGAAGAGCCTCAGCTGTCTCCGTACATCTCTATCACAGCAGTCGTTCTCTATCTTGGGTGTATATACTGTATTGTTGTTGTGTCCAATGAAGAGTCTCAGATGTCCCCATGCATCTCTATCACAGCAGTCGCAATGTCCACTATCTTGGGTGTGTAAAGCTGCTGCTCTGGGTCCATGTCAATTTTCTGCAAGGCTGCAGCCATTGCTGGACATGGGAATATGTGGGTAGGTGTTAGTTCCACGCCAGGACAGTTGTTACATGTCCTGTAGATTATTGTGTCATCTGGATGTATTGTCATTCCTTTATAGTGCACTTAGAGTAAAAGCATTCATTAACTAC